AGAAAAACTGTTCCTCTCCCCAGCTCCTCCTCTGGATCCTTGGAGGCTCAAGAGGCCAGAGCATACAAAGCAGGGTTCATTAGACGGTCTTGGAGGCACACACATAGAGCTGCTGAGCATTAGAAAATTCTGAATGCCATATCTGTTTGAGTTTTAAAATCAACAATTTTTATTTTTATTTGTTTTTTCAAGAGAAGGTTTCTCTGTGTAGCCCTGGCTGTTCTTGAACTCAGAGATCCACCTGCCTTTTGCCTCCCAAGTGCTGGGGTTAAAGGCATGTACTACCACTGCCCAGCAAACAATTATTTATGAGTTTGTTTTTGCTTTTCAGATAGGATTTCCTGTAGCCCAGTCTGCCTTTGAACTCGCTACAGAGCAAAGGATGATCTCAAACTCACAATTCTTCTGCCTCCACCACCAAAGTGCTGGGATTTCAGGTGTGTACATGCTTCGCCCTGGCTGCGGCAAATTTTTTTATAAATAGAGAAAAGAAATATTTAAAAACCAGCCCTGTGGTGCCAGTCTGTCAGTACCACAGACAGTTCAGTTGGTCCTTTGCCCTGATCTGGCAGCTCAGGAAAAGGTCCCTGCTGGAATCGCCATTGTCTTCCTATTTGAGTCTGAACCGTCACGGGGTTGCCATTAAACAGCAGCAGGCAAAGGCAAGTGAACTTACGCTGTGTCAATTACAAGGGTAGGGACCGTGTTTTTCCTAAAAATTCAAGTGAAGTTGGCCTGGAATTTTTGGCTAAGACCCACCCACAGCTGAACTGAGAGCAGATGCTCTCTCCTGCAGAACAACTCAGGAATCAAGTCCTGCAGCACAAGATGGCATGGGGGTGGGGCATCCTCCTAATGAAACCCAGAGGGTAGGGCAAGAGCTGTCACTGGCCATCTGAGAAGAAAGAATAAACTGATCAAAAAGTTAAAAGTGAATGGGAAGGAAGAGAAACTGACTGCAAAATAGAGAAGTCAGAGGTTGAAATGTCTGCTCCTGAGTGTTGATGTGCTTACCATGAAAACCTTCCAGACATTCCAAAGGACTCTGCCAGAGGCTAGATTTGGCTCTAAATCTGCAGGAGCAGGTGAAATGACAACTGTCTGTCCTACAACTGGAACGTTCTCTTCTTCCCTCACGACACTTTTGTACTGTCCCAGGTCCTGACCAGTAGGCAAGGTTCCTTGGACTCCAGGCAGGGTCTGCAGCTTTCTAGAGTGGGAGACACTAAGCTAGGTGGTGGTGGTGCACATCTTTAATCCCAGCACTGGGAGGCAGAGGCAGGAGCATCTCTATGAGTCCGAGGCCAACCTGGTCTACAAAGTGAGTTCCAGGACAGGTTCCAAAGCTACACAGAGAAACCCTATCTTGAAAAAAAAAAAAAGAAAGAAAGAAAGAAAGAAAAAAAGAGCAGTAGATACTGTTCTGTTCATCTGGACCCTGTATCCTGCAGCCTTATTCTCTGTGTTGCTATAGCAAAATACCTGAGGCTGGATAACCTAATAACACACAGAGGTTTTACTAGGCTCAAGATTGCGACAGTTGGAGGCTCCAAACATCATAGTGTTCTGATTCCAGTAAGGGGCTCCTAGCTTTGTCACACATCTGCAATGCTACCCGAAAGTGAATGTCCCCCTTGGCATCTGTGTCTGAATACTTAGTCCCCAGTGGGTGCAGAGGGACGCTGGGAACAGGTCTTTAAGGTTAAGATGGCAACAAGGCACTACACGCTCCTGCTCTGGCTTCCTTGTATACAAACCTCTGGGAGGCCTTAAGCAGAAACAGACCATTCCTCTCTCAAGCTGCTTCTGTCAAGAACTTTGTCACAAGAAAGTAACAAATACAATGGTGAAGAAGCTGGAAGAGACCAGCATGAGCAGGAGACCAATGTGTGGCCAGCCTTGCTTTGTAACAGCTTGCTCTCTTGCCAGACAGCACAGAAGGTTCCAGTCCCTTCATGCTGTTACACTACAGACCTGTCTTCAAAGGAAAGGCATTGCTCAGACTGTCTGTAGACCTGAGGTGCAGTCATCCCTGGACTAGGAGAAAGCCACTTTGAGAAGCAGACCAGAGCAGAGCAGAGCACAGGTCCGCAGCCATAGTGTTGAATGAAAGCCAACCCAGACGGGATCAGCCCCCCTTCTGGCTGATTCTGCACAAAGTGTCGTTGTCGGGCACTCTAGTCAGAGTGCTGTCCCACTTGTCAGGACATCAAGACGCAAGGAGACAGAACGAAGGGTGCCCGCTCTAACCAATCCTCCCAGTGCACACCACCACGGAACTAAGAGGTGTCTCTACCGCCCACCCCCCATCAACAACTGATTTTGCCAGCCAGAGCCACACCTATTTTCTCTACCAACAGTTACTCCTTACTTAAGGAATCCCCTTGCCACCCTCTGTAGTTAGAAGTAAGGGTGAGCGGGACCTTACATATAGACCCTGGTGCTGTACTTGGACCACTGCTGCCAACAATTGTAGTCAAATGACCCTGGCAGAACTGATCTGAAACCCTCCTCAGGACTGACATAGAAGCATTGGGGAAAAAAAATCTTCCAACTGCTGGTCCGCAGACTAAGAACTTGGAAGAAGGATATAGTGTTATCATCATGTAATACAAGACAGGCACACGACACCAAAACCATCACCACTGAGTACACAGATCAAGCAACACCTGAACCCCTGTGTGTTCCTGTTACACAAGCCAAGTAAAGTCAGGAGGAAGGCTTTGCCATCTATAGAAGTTCCTTCCCTGGCCACACTTGTTTCTGCTCCCCTTTGTCTCTGGCTTAGCTTCCCAACACTCAGCAAACCTTCCAGTGGGTTGGCCAGAGATGAGTTAAGGGCCCATCTGAGTTACTCTGGAGCAAACTTCAGAGGCTGCCTACTGTTGTCTGATGGCCCTGTGAAGACAATTGCCGCCCCCTGCTCTACACACACCAGAGTTCATTCCTCTTTCCTTTGCTTGCCATTGATCTGGTACTAAATCTGCCTGATATTTAATACAGAAAAGCAGGTCTCAACACTCATTTGACAACACTGCTCAGCATGTCTTCACATGCAACTAGGTGGGGAAGAGGGTGGAGTACTTTGTATGAAGTTAATGGGTTTAGAGTGGACAGAACAGAGAGGCAAGGCTACCAGACAGAATTCTGATATCTTTTATTCATGTAGGTATATCTGTGGACATATCAAGTAAAGAACACACAATTCTGTGTACTATGATCATATGTGACCCTGTAGAGTGTACCACACAGGGGTTAGAGACAGCTACAAGCCACAGGAGGGGTTTTCTCTGAAGCTGAGAATGTTCCACTCTGAAAGCCTGAGCAGCCTAAATCCAATCTAAAGAGCAGCTAATCATGCTATAGAGATCCTGCATCAATGTTTCCTTTATGGCCCCACTAAAACATACTGACTCCATTGCATTTACAACAGGGCTTCCTAGGTAAGTACCCAAATCAACTACATAAAATCAGAAAATAGCCAGGGCTACATAGTGAGACCCTATCTCAAACAACAAAAAAACAAAACAAAACAAAACAAAACAAAAACCTCAGAGCAACATCTCATTCAAGTTGGGTTTACAATGTGAAATACAAATTAAATAATTGTATTTGCATGACTACTGCTGATTTTCTACATTAGGGCAAGACAATGCACCAAATGTCCACGGTCTGCTGAGGCAGGCATCTGACAGGCACAAGCAAGACATTATCAAACAAACCATCACAACCTGGCAAAAGAGTTTGCTGATCCATATAGTTTTTCTTTCTTTTTTCTTTTTCTTTTTTTTTCTTTTCATTTCTTTCTTTCTTTCTTTCTTTCTTTCTTTCTTTCTTTCTTTTTTATACAGGGTTTCTCTGCGTAACGTCATGGCTGTCCTGGAACTTGTTCTGTAGACCAGGCTGGCCTCAAACTCACAGAGATCCAACTGCCTCTCCCTCGCAAGAGCTGGGATTAAAGGCGTGCACCACCACCTCCTGATTCAATACAGTCTTAAGATCACGGGCCTGTAAGAACAAATAAATATGGCAGACAACAAAAACAAGAGGATAAAGGTGCTGGAAATTCAGGGAGGAAGAGTGGTGACGGCACCGTCAGGCACATGCGGAGATTCTGGAGGACTAGCTTATTTCTCGATTTGGGTGTTGGTTATGTGGGTCTGTTCAGTTTGTGAAAATTCATCACACTACACAGATACATATGCATTTTGTACACAGATTTTTTCATAAATAGAAAGTTAAAAGAAAAGGCTGGATGCTGTGGCATACACCTGTGGATTCCAGCACTTGGAGGAGGAGGAAGCAGATCTCAGGCTTGCTGGCCAGGCAGTCTCCTGTGAACCACAACTAATGAACTGGGGGCTCTAGAAATGGCTCAGCAGTTATGAGTACTTGCTATTCTTACAAAGGACTGAGATTTGATTTCTAACATTGACATGGTAGCTGGCTTACAATAGCCTGTCACTCCTGATGCCATCTTCTGGCCTCTGAAGGCACCAGGCACACATGTGGTACACATACATACATGCAGACATTCACACATATACATAAAATAAAAATAAGTCATCAAATATATACGGCAGATAGTTCCTGAAGAACTACAACCAAAGTTGTTCTCTAACCTCCACACACATGTAGCTGCAGACACACACACACACACACAAATGCTTTAAAAAATAAAAGATACATATTTAAGAGGATTTTGGAGATTTTATAAATGCTTTTTTCCCCCATTTTTCAAGAACTGCAGACTGTCACCCTACTGAGCATTAACACTGAGCGAGCCATCATAGAGCAGAGTGGCCATGTGAACCAGCAGCATTTATCCACATGGATGATCTTCAAATTTTTCATTGTATAGCCTGTGACATCAGGTAGACCAGATGTCCACAGAGTTCCTGTCAACACAATACTGGGGGTAAAATGTACTTCATTCATTACCTGGGCTCAAATCCTGCCTTCACACCTATGAAATCTGTGATCTTGAACGTGTTACTAACCTTCTCGATGTTGTCTTCTGCAACTGTAAGGTTGACATGGCCCTGTGATCCATTCCCAGTATGAAAGAGAAAAAAAAAAGTACTTAAACTGAGCATAGTAGCCTAGCACTCAAGAAACTAAGGCAGAAGAAGGTCGAGTACTTGGCCTAGGTTACACAGAGAGAGTTTGCCTCTAAACACAAAATAAAACAAAACAAAACAAAAGCAAAAACCAATACCAGGTGCTACCTTTTGTGTGCCAGAGGCAGCTCTTGTCTCAATCAGGGACCATTGTGTTCTCATCACTTTCCTGCGTTTCAATAACTTACTACTCTCTGTAAAATTCCAAAACAACAAACTTAATGTAGACTTATTTAACTATTTACTTTTTTTTTTTTTTTTTGGTTTGTTTCATTTTGTTTTGAGGTAGTGTTTCACTACATAGCCCAAGCTGGCCTTCAGCTCAGAGTCTCCCTACCTCTGTCTCTTTGGCACCAGAATTACAGGTGTGATCTACCACTACCCGATTTACCTATTACTTAACTAATACAATGGTGTCATAGAAAATCTGGAAAATAGAAAGTAGGTATTGTACTTTAAAAGTGAAGTTGGGCTGGAGAGATGGCTCAGAGGTTAAGAGCACTGACTGCTCTTCTAAAGATCCTGAATTCAGTTCCCAGCAACCACATGGTGGCTCTCAACCATCTGTAATGAGATCTGGGGGCCCTCTTCTGGTGCTGCAAGCAGAGTATTGTACACATAATAAATAAATAAATCTTTTTTTTTTGAGAGAGAGAGAGAGAGAGAGAAAGAGAAAGAGAGAGTCACCCTGTTGTTCTGAAGTGTCTGATTGCTCTGCAGACATATGCAGGCATAAGTGACAGCAGTTACACTGGAGAAGCTGTGAGGGCCACTGGTGCAGAAGGGACTTGAGAGCACACAGTTGTCAGCACACTTAGGAAACTTTTAGTGCAAAAATTTCCAGTTCTATAGGGAAGTCAGAAGGCGTAATGTGAATATCCAGATACCCTAATCACAATAACACTTCACGCTTGCTTTCTCCCACATCTTACTTTTTTGCGGGACCATTTAGCATTATCTATAAGCATTCCAAACTTTGCCTCCCCAGAACAAAGACAGTGTCCTATATAACCACAATACCACAGCCGCACGAGGAATGTCACTGCTGCAGTGACAGTTCCTAACAGACAGTTCACCTTTCCAGTCAGCTTACAAACGCCCTTTTCTCCCAGGGTTGAATCAGGGATCAAACACAGCATGTAAACCACCAAGTTTCCTTAAATTGGAGAGACAATCCTAGCTGGGCAGAATCCAGGAAGCGGCACTGTGGAATGGCCCACAGTATGGCCACGTTTGGCTGTAACTTACTGGGATCTAGGTTCAGCCTTTTGGAAAGTGCTCTTCAGCTATCTTCTCATACTTGGCTTGCACACGAACAGCACATACAGAGAGACACAAAGTACCACTTGGCTGTAAGTGCTGCGGAGCTTGATCTCAGCTGTGGAGGCGTTTGCTCAGACCTTTCTTTGTCAGAAGAGTCTCTTTCTCAAATGTATTTATTTTTGTTTTATGTATATGAGTATTTTGCCTGCACGTATGTCTGTACATCCATGAGTAAAAGCCCATGGAAGCTAGAAAAGAAGTTACAGGAGGTTGTGAGCTATCATGTATGTGCTGGGAACTGGACCCAAGTCTTCCATAAGAACAACCACTAAGGGCTGGAGAGATGGCTCAGAGGGTAAGAGCACTGGCTGCTCTTCCAGAGGTCCCTGAGTTCAATTCCCAGCAACCACATGGTGGCTCACAACCTCCTTGCCAGCAGTACATTGTATGCTTAATAATAATAAAAAAAAAGAACAACCACTAAGCCATCTCTCTAGTCCCTCTTTTTCCTCCTATCAATAAATAAGTAATCTGTAGAGCGATTCTTTGAGTTCTTGTCTCCTAACAACTTATTTACTGAAGATGAAGGTGCATGCCGTGGCACACGTGAAGTCAGAGAACAATTTGAGGAGCTGGTTCTCTCCATTATCTGGGTTCCAGGGATCAAGCCACGGCTCAGCAGGCTCCTCCTTTTTTTTTTTTTTAAATTACATTTATTTGTGTATATGTGTGTGGGCACATGTTTCCTGGCATATATGTGGAGATCAGAGGACAACTTGAAGGAGTGGGTTCTCTCCTTCTACCATAAGGATCCCAGGAATCCAACTCAGGTGGTCAGGGTAGCAGCAAGCACCTTTACCTATTGAACCATTTCCCCAGTCCCAACATCCTTTTTAATCACTTGAGGATTGAGAGTTCAAGGCCAACTTGAGCTATATATAAAGACTCTCTGTGCCCCCACCAAAAAAAAGGCAAAATAAAACAGTCACTAATACAAATCTGATTTATATTATAAAATTACTTCACATTAGAAATTACGAGTATTTTGTAACATTTACTTTACATTTCCCTAAGTAGGGACAAAAATGAATGTTTTAACAAGCAGTGGAGTACCACCTCATCTTTAGAGCCCCCGTTCCCACAGAAGATAAAATTCTACATCAAAGACAAACCTATTTTCAAAGTTAGACCTGATGGTGCAGGCCTGAATCGGGCTAAAGAGTGAGTTCAAGGTCAACTTGGACAACTTAATGAGACCCTGTCTCAAAATAAAAATAAAGTATGTTGGATATAAATAAAAATAAAGTATGTTGAATATAAATAAAAATAAAGTATGCTGATATAAATAAAAATAAAGTATGTTGGCTATAGGTCAGTCTCAGAGCGCTCGCCTTTATGTGTAAGACCCAGCTCCAACCCCTGTCTTACATTCTCTTTCTCACCTAGGTGCAGGTATGAACCTGTCATCCTAGCTCTTAGAGGCTAGCGAAGTGTCATTCAAACTTGTCAAGTCCATTATGTATAGTTAGGAAAGGATGGAGAGGGAAGGAGTCCATACACCAAATCAAAGATAAAAATCTAGGTCACATAACTAGCCACAGAGAGATATTCTGGGGCTATGAAGCCTTCATAGGCTGGAGGGTGCTGACAGAATGAGATAAAAAGTATGAACATTCCCAGCACAAAGACTTTACCCAAGATCCATTGCAGCAGTCCCCAGTGGGCACTAGGAGCAAAGAGCAATCTCTTAGAGGGCATCTGAATAATCTAACTCAGTTCTGATTTTAGCAACCCTCCACCCTGTGAGGGAAAGGAACAAGTTCCAGTCTCTATCATTCGCCCAGGCTGAGCCAAGATTAGCTTATGTGCCTGAGGCTTCGAAACAGACATGGAGACAGTCAGGCCACTGGGCACAGGGAACAGGCTAGTTATGACAGACAGCAACAAAGCCTGAGGGCATCCGGACACTGGCACAGTCTCTGCCTAGGTCCACATGGTTCCCCACCCACGAAAGGACTCTGCAGACATCAAAATACACCTGCAAGCTCCCAACGCCCACCAGACTGACAGTCACAGGACCAGAACAGCAGCAGCCTCTGGGCTATTACCTGACTGGAAGACATATCGAGCCAGGCCCTGCATCAGCTCCGCTGGCCATGTTGGTGGGGCAGACTCTCCAGTTTCTCTCTTCAGACGAAATGTCAATTCAAAGCCAAAACCACTTGGTCCGTCTGTTCCTGTAAATCTGAAAGGAGAAAAACATTTTCAGTTTAACTAGCACAGGATAAAGTTCTACAGTCTTTGTGTGGTGGTCATCACAAGATTTCCTCAACTCAAAAGGAATGCCAGGGTAAAGAAGTCTCTCCAAGGGGCTGGAGAGATGGCTCAGCGGTTAAGAGCATTGCCTGCTCTTCCAAAGGTCCTGAGTTCAATTCCCAGCAACCACATAGTGGCTCACAACCATCTGAAATGAGATCTGATGCCATCTTCTGGCCTGCAGGCAGACACACAGACAATATTGTATACATAATAAATAAATAAATATTTTTTAAAAAAAAAAAGAAGTCTCTCCAAAGCCTGCTTTACCCTCCAGTGAGCTGCGGGTATACATGTACGATATCAGCCCAGCCAAACTCCTACACTGGAACTCTTGAGTTATAAGTTCCAAATTTTGTGGTTCTAGGACATTCCTTTTATATGACAGAAGAAACACTACTGAAAATCTTCCTTATGCTTCTCTCTTATTCAGACTGCTAATGAGTACCCACTGAGTTTGCTAAGAATACATTTCCTGTGATCCAATAGTGTGGCTGTGTGTTCTGGGAAGACATAGCCTTCTTTCACTCCACCTCCAGGGACACCATGCCTAGCTGTACTGAGTGGCTTCCTAAGTCACAGGTGCCACTCTTTTCCTAAGGTCAGTCCCCACACCTATCAGTGAGTGCCACCTTCTCTAACCTCCCATGAGCATTCCTTAGTCACTGAACCCCAAAGGACAACAGTGCAAGTCTCAGGGGAGTCCCTGAGACAGGTTACTACCGGAGAAGGCAGTGATGTCTACTCAAGAGCAGAACTTGGTTGGGGGGGGGGGTTGCCACATCTACTCAGGTGAGAGAGGTATCTAAGGAGGAGTCCCCAAAAACTCCAAAAAGTTTGCCAGGATGAGAAGGGTTAAGAGTTAAAATATGTCCATCATGTAATTTTCAGTAATTATATCTTGTACAAACATGAACCACAATGATTATACATATGTAAACTCAAGCCATAAACTAAAATGACAGCCAACACCTTCCTTCTATGTCTTGAGAGCTAAAGACACCATCAGTGTTCAACCCTGGAACCCCTCAGAGCATCATGTTTTGTCAACGTCCAAGAGGCTAGCATGGGAGACTGGGCAGAAAGACACTGACTGGAGTCCCAGTTTTTGCTTTGTGTGCCCAGCAGATCAGCCTCCAGGTGCCACTCCACGAGAGAGCACCTCTGAGGAGCTGCATGCAATGGCCTTCCAAATCCTTAGACATCGTTGCAGTCACCGCAACTGCATCTATGGATGTGCGAGTGCGCACGCAGTCTCCTTGTTTTTCTGGTTTCCAGGTGGGAAGTGGAATCTATTTAGAGGGCACACATGGATTCCTGGGGACAAGGCTAGAAACTGCTTAAAGTGACACTATTTAGACTATTTGTTTCCTTGATGAATTACTCTGTTGGGTCAAGTCTACACAAAGTCTGTGGGAACAGCTACATTAAGGAAGCAAGCTGCCTCCCAGAGGCTGCAGGTTTGGAAGAGTGTGGAAATCCAGAGCTCTATGAGATTGACTTTAAAGCTCTGTAAAAGACTGGGGCATGGCGGTGAGCAGCCTTTAATCCTAGCACTGAAGAGGCAGAGGCAGGTAAATTCCAGGCCAGCTGGTTTACACAGTGAGGTCTAGGCTAGCCAGAGCTACACAGTGAGACTCTGTCTCAAAAATCAACAACTAAACAAAATTCTACACAGGGACGTGGGTCACTAGGGCAAAAGGAAGATCTCAGGCAGCCACCAATTAGAGACAGCTTTGTAAAATGCATTAGACCATTGTTCCAGGGCTTTCATCTTGGGCCAAGGAAAATACATGATTTCTAACTGCAAAAACTTGAGAAACAGACTAAAAGGAACATATGCATTATAGACCGCACAAGGGCGAGAATCTGCGGGTACAGAGAGAGAAGCCACTGCGCCATTTGCACTCACACCACATCTCACTGAGCAGAGCTCTATGCACACACATGCAGGAGTGTGCATCCATGCACACACACACATGTGCACACCATCTGTCTCCACACAGGGTGCTTTCTAAGCCAGCTCTGTGGTGGTCAGGCCAGCTCTCTCTTGGCTGAGGAGGAGGGGCAAAGCCAGCCGGATGGTTCCCACCTGTGTTTGATTACCACCCACCAGGATGGCTGGACACAACCTCAACACTCTGAAACATGAGTTTGGAATGGCCCAGCCTTAGGATAAACACATGACTTGGGCCTGTCAGATTTCTTTTTCAAAGAAGGCTGTCCAGGCAATAACAGCCAAGCAACAAAATCATTCGGTGTTTAAAGTTCCCCGAAGGGGACTGGCTTGGTCTGGACCACTTCATACAAAGGTTTTCTCCTGCCAAAGAGGGTTTGCCTAACCAGAGAATGGACCCACTCCAAAGGAACAGCTGTGTGCCATGTCTTCTAGGATGAAATATGAGAGCAATGAGACATGTTTTCTCTCTCTCTCTCTCTCTCTCTCACACACACACACACACATACACACACATACATTCATGCCTCCCCAACTCACATATACTTATGTACCCACACTATATATATATATATGCAAAAAAGTTTATAAAGTAAAAATGTTATAGTAATTTAAGGTTAATTAATTATTGAAGAAAATGGTTTTGGGAGATTGAGTGTGGCCTACGCGTCACTGTTTATAAAGTCTGTAGTAGTGCATCACAATGTCCTGGGCCTCACACTAACCACAGACTCAGCCAGACAAGCGCTAATCCTGGAACTGCCATTCACAGCAAGTGTCCTATGTAGGCATAACTTTTTTTTTTCACAAGCTGGGCAGTGATGGCACACCTTAAATCTCAGTACTAGAAGCAGAGGCAGGCAGATCTTTGTAAGTTCAAGGCCAGCCCAGTCTACCTAGAAGGTTCCACAGTCAGAGCTAAACAAAGAAACTGTATCTCAGAACAAACAAACAAAAAAGATTTATTCACTGTGTGTGTGTGTGTGTGTGTGTGCGCGCGCGCGCGCGCACACACACACACGCACACATGCATGCATGCATGCATATGAATGGGGACATCAAGGAACCGCATGCCCCGGCACAAATGTGGCCATCAAAGAACATTTTGCAGGAGCTGGTTCTCTCCTTCCGCCATGTGGATCCAGGAGAGCAAACTCAGCCTATCAGGTTTTCAGGTGTTACCTTAACCACAGAGCCTCCTAACAGCTCTGCTGAAAACCTTTATGCCATATCAGCTATTGTTCACAGTCACGGTTACTAGTTCTGGGAACTCACCAGAAGGGAATAATCTTGTATTTGGAAAAAAGCCTTTGGCATAAACATATCCAGTAGTATTTATCAAAAAAAAAAAAAATTCCAGTGTTCTATAAGTAGGGGCTTATATAAGTTTCTGGTGCTTCATTAGGACACCACCATGACTAAAAGTCAGGGCTAGCAGGAAACAGACTGATCTGTGTGAGCTCTGAGAAGGAAAGGGCCCTCTGTGCCTCTACCTGATGAGGTGGAACCAGGTGACATCCAAGCATACACTAGAGCCTCTACAATACAAACGTAAATAGTGCCTCATCAAGTCAAATGGTCATGAAAGTGGAATGTCTGGGCATGGCTGGTGACAATGCAGCTGCTATAGAAACATGGCTATTTTCAAAAACTGAAACAATTACTGCAATGAGGCAGAAATTTCACGTCTGGGTATCTACACAAAAGGCTGAAAACAGGGTCTTGAAAATCCTTGTTGACAGACGCATTATTCACAGCAGTGCTGGGGGGTCACAAACAGTAGAGGCAATCCAAAAGCCTACTGCCAAGGCGAGTAAACAGAAAAATGTGCAGATACGAAACAGTCAACCATTCAGCCTTCAAACAGGATGTAGTGGCATATTCCTATATTCCCAGAATTTGGGAGATGGAAGCAGGATCAACAACTCAAAACCATCCTCAGTTACATAGTGATCCTTGAGACCAGCCTGGGTTGTAGAAAACCCTGTCTCAAACACAAGCACACACACACACATCTGACAATGAGTGAATCTTGAAGACATCATGCTAAGTGAAATAAGCTCGACACAAAGGAGCAGCCCTGCAAGCACCCACTTAGATGGGGCAACTGGAATAGTTAGACACAAAATAGAACTGTGGCTTCTAGATGTTGGGAGATGATGTGGGATTTGGTGCTAGCATCCCAAAGGCCATTGGCTGAATGAGTTCCCACAGCAGTGAGACATGGAGAATAAGAACTATTATTTTGAATAGGTCTAGTTTCAACTGGGAAGACCAAAACGTTCTAGAAACTGAAGGTGGTAATGGCTGTACACTAATGCAAAAACCTATACCTAAACATGGTGGCAATGGCAATCCATATCATGAATATTTTACCAAAAGTGAATGGGCATTAAAACAAACAAAAACAGTGCTCACTTCGGCAGCACATATACTAAAATTGAAATGATACAGAGAAGACTAGCATGGCCCTTGCACAAGGATGACACGCAAATTTGTGAAGTGTTCCGTATTTTTAGTAGGACTGAGACAGCAACCTGGACCAGATGAGGCCTGAGGCAACTCCACAGGAGCAGGTACAGGGGAGCAACTGCTGAGTGAGTGGGCCAGAACCAGAGACCGCTGTGGGTCCAGGTGTGAATCTGGGACCTTCAAGGGAGTAGACCTGAGCCAGAACTCCTGTGGGTCTGGGCGTGAGTCTAGGACCTCTGAGAAACGAGGCCTGAGCCAGGACCTCTGCAGGTCTGGGCGTGAGGATATGATAGTTTACATAAACTATCCCAAAAATTCTACAGCTCATAAACACTTTCAGTAATGTAGAAGGATACAAGATTAATTCAAAAAAAAATCAGTAGCCCTCCTGTACACATATGATAAATGGGTTGAGAAAGAAATCAGAGAAATACCACCCTTCACAATAGCCACAAATAGCATAAAATATCTCAGAGTAACTCTAACCAAACAAGTGGAAG